GAGAGCTCTCTTTAACCTAACTAAAAAAAAACATGTCAGAGGGACATTGCCAGTGATTGACAACAAGTGCACTCACACATAGAGGTCACACATGCAGTACAAGGACAGATTCTTGTTATGAAATTGGGGCAGAATTAGCAGTGCCCTTTTAGCCCCTTTTCTGCATTTTCCCCCACCAGCACACGCTCCAGTGATACTCCTCGCCATCATCTTCTCTTCTGTCAGTTCTCATGAGAGGGTTGGACACTAAATGAGTCATGTTGCATTCTTCTCTATGAAGGGTTGTAACCCTGCATCACATTTGCCTTTGTCCATACAAATGTGCTATTACGAAATATTACAATACAAAAAAAGCTATGGCAAATTCCGTTGCAATTGAAACACCAATGACAGAGAGCTTTGTGTCTATTTTCAGACAGGGGAATATCTGCCAAATAACCTGGAGCCCTGAGGTCAGCAGTGTGTGTGAAAGTGAGAAGTCCCTGTGACTGGACGAGGAAGTGCTCTCATGAGGTTTTCCCAGGAACTGGATCTCCTTTTTTTAATACATTGTTGGCATAGATTTCGCTTTTTCGACAGACGACAGTACACACTTCCATGTGTACATGTAACGAGGTGACGCTGATCCACGCCCATTATACGTCGGAAAAAGATTCCAGTATGTCAAGATGGTAATCGGTTAAGTACGGAGATGTCGGTGAAATGGATCCTGGTTGACGCAAAATACACGGCTAAAGCGAGTCGGATTTGAACCCAAATTTGTCAAAAACAACTCAAACTTGAATATCAAACATAGGACGAGACCGCCCACCTTTTTTTATGTCTATTCTCACCGAATATGCACTTTATATATCCCTGATATTCAAAAGCACAATTTAATGTTGTAAGATGGGAGATACGACGCAACATTGGATATGTGTAAGTTAAGAACCAGAAACTAGACGTTCAACTATGAAGGTGTGTATCGATTTTAGCATTAACAAAGCGGCCAACAGTAGACCTCCTACACGTAGGCTATGACTAAATGGCCTAAGCTTAAGGTCCAAATCAGACCCAGTGAACAACATGATTTTTTGATAGTTTAAAATGCAGATTTATAAACGTTTTAGACAAATAATGCCTGTAAAAGTCGTGTTTATTTGCCGCACACGTCAATATTTGCCTGCATCGCTGTCGCTGTGGAACTAGGCCCAATCAAATACGCTTTTTGACATGTTTGCGTTAAATTAGTCGAATTTATTGTTTTTGAACCAACAAACAGCTCCCTGAAAACTAACAACTCACAAACCAAACAAGAAAGCCAAACCCCGTCGAGTCTGTCTGTGTGACTTAACAAAGAGGAGCGGCACCCTCTCGGAGAACACCGCCCTCTTTGATTCAGTAGCGGATTCCTTGATATTCAGGAACCACCAGTGGCGCCCTTTCTCTGCAGGATCTCTGAAGTGCCCTGCGGTCTTGAAAAAAAAAAAAAAAAATACCCGAGTCAGGTGTGCGTAAACATAACGTTGTACGGGATTTGCGCAGGCAGCCGCGGAAGGGGAATAACCGATTCGTGCGTATTTTTTTTCTGTGGGAGAAATTGTCCGAGGGGTTGGGCCAGAGATCCTGTGGAAAATGCTGCCTCCGTTTAGCTGCTACCCGTGCCGGGGTTCGGGAGTTGTCCGGCTGATGGCACACACAAGCTGCTGACGACAACGTGAAGATCGAAAAGAGGTCGTCTTGTTCGTCAAACCCACACGCGGCACTGCGACCCTTTTTTTTTCTCTCTGTGGATAGAAATCATCATGCCGAGCTCCGACGGAGGGACGTGAAAAATGATCCACGCTCCGTGAGCTGCCACAGCCGACGACGTGTTGCAATTACGCGGAGAACCAAGAAGCTGTCGGTCTCTCCAAGAGGGTGGAACACGACCGTGTAATTTACAACGCTCTTTGATGGCATGCACCAGGCTCGCCTGACAGCCGGCTCATAACCGAGTAAGCTGCGGCTCTTTGATGTCTGTCGATCCATTCATCCTACCCGTTGTAATGACGTCTGTACGGTTGTTATAATTCTATCGGTGAGGCATTTGTGAGAATCCCCTCCCCTCCTCCAAACCCCTGGGCCGGGTGTCGGGGAGAGTGAGGCTGGTCGGCTGTCGGAAGGATATGGGAGAGCGAGCGGAACCGATGCAGTGGGTCTTGGCAAGGCACCGTCAACATACAGGTGAGCAGCAGGATGAAGGGACTGACAGTGTGACTGATTACCTGCCTTCGGCTCTCTACACATGCAGCGCTGCCAGTCCCCCGCAGCGCGGACGGTGTGACCCGGCTTTTTAATCCTCGCTTTAGTGCTGCTTTGAGACACATTTCTTAGGCCACATCTCCGTTAGCTACAGGCCCGCAAGATGCCACCTGAGGCAGCCGTCCGGATCAACCGAGATTAGAGGCTACTGCCGCGCCGCTGCTGCTGCTGCTGACCTACCTACATGCGGTCGCACGTATAAACACCCAGGACTGCAGCTAAATATAGTTCCGTGGTTCAGTTATAGCGTATTATTATTTATTTTTTAATTTACTGTGTAAAATGCCATGATAATGACAAATGCCCATCACAAGCTGCACGAGTCCAAAGTGATGAGATAGTTTCAGTTGGTGTAAAGTGCTGCCAGCTCTCCAAAGTATTCAGTTGAAGTAAGTCAAATGACAGACCCCATTACCAACATTGCTGTTGACTTATTTTCTTATTCTTATTTATAAGCTATATGATCACTCCACTGTTTGTTTTTCCTTACTAGAAGGAGACTTGACTAACCAGACTTGTATCATTTGCAGACCGTATGTGCTTTTGGTTGGTCAGTAGATGACATGTTTCCTTTTTAAGAATAGGACCTGGCACAGCAACAGTAAGGGGAATGTCACACCTGTTCATCACTCACACTGAGAATATTTCGCTGATAATTAAGACCGTCCTTTCCTCACGACTTCCAGTTGTGGATGTAGTTCTTATCTACGTCCATGCAAGTGCAAAATGCCTACATCAAGCAATGTTTCAGCATAAATGAGCTAAATGAGGTGTCAGCTGCAGTGCCAAGCTGTCCCAACGAGCATAATGGACAGCTCTAAGTGCTTTGTAATTTAATAATGTGACAATCCAGTCTAAAATAGTTGTACAATTTTTGAGCACAACAAGAGGTGACAATGAAATATTAGTCGGTACACTTAAAGTAGCACATAGTGTAGTTTAGACCTGTCTTCTGTTTATGCTGAAGTCCAGATGAGTTCGTTAGGGGCAGAGTGTCTATGGCTCACAGATGAGTTGAGGACTAAATTCCAGCTTTTATTGACATCTTTCTTATTTTATTCTCATTTCTGCACTGCGTCCTGCCTCTTACCTGAAGCCTATTGAATAGACAAGCTTGCACAATAATCATTTTTAACCTAAAAAATCAACCCAAGCCCATCCATGTAAGGCTGCATCAACACCAGTGTTTACACTTTGTTCGCTGGCATCCCTGTAGGCTTCAACCCTGGTGGAAACCTAGTGCCTCCAGCGAGTCCTGGCAGATACAGTCTTTGTCTCTTTGTTTTCCAAAACGCACACACAATGTGTGACCTTCCCTCGTGCCAGAAAACCTGCTCCTCTTCTCTAATATTGACTAATTAATAAATTCTCAATAAACAATAAATTGAATTATTGGAGAACAAGCTTGCCAGTTACCTCTTGGTATTCATTTGTCAAACATGGGGCTTGAAATGTAAGTTCATGACAGATGACTAGGCCATTAACATTTTCAAGTGCATCATGGGACATGTGCTCCAAATAAGCCATATGGATGTAGACTCTGTGATAATACCCGGGAGGCAGGATTGATGATCAGCAAAGATATTAATAGACAGGAGTGTGAAAAATACCAATGTGTGAAAAACCTATGGCTGCAGGAGTGTGTTGCATGGACAAACCCCCCCCCCCCCCAAACAAACAAAAATACATTGATCTATACATAAACACATGCATGCAATGTGCAGTGCACATACGATCACATCAACTGAAAGAAGCGAAAATGGAGTGGGAAGAGGTGAAAGGGATTGAGTGGGTGGCAGTGGGAGAAAAAGATGGAGAAAGAGGCAGAGGGAGAGTAGGAGTGAGTGGCACATGGCTTTCAGTCTAAAAAAAGATGAGCAACACGAAACCAAAACCAGAATCTGGATTAGCTAGATAAGGAAAAGGAGAGGAGGGGGGGGAGGGGGGGTGACAGGGGAAGGCTGGAGGTGAAAATGTAGGTTTCCTCTGCACCGAAAATGGTGCAGATGCACACGCTCGGTTTCATGCTCATAAATGTCCTCTAAAATATGAATACTGAATGAGTGTGTGGGTAGAAGGAGAGAGCAGGAGGATGGGAAGACAGAAGATGAGAAAGGGTGAGATGGAGTTCGGAGATGGACGAGAGCCTTTTGGGGTGGACGGAACGCTGCTGTAGTGTGACGGAACGGGCAGAGAGACGGGATCATGAGAGACGGCAGGAGCAGAGCCAGGGATGTGACTATTTGCTGGAGAGAATCTTGTTCTGAGCAGAGTGTAACACTGACCCGGGCAGAAGAAGAGAGAGAGAGAGAGAGAGAGAGAGAGACACTGGAGCAGATGGACGTATGACAGAGAGCAGAGGAGACGGAGGGATTTTAGGACTGTGCTGCAGTCGAACCGTCATGTCAACCAAGTACAACAGCATTGTCTTTAGACACTGTGCCCAACGCCTAACTGCGTGCCAACTCCTCTTCAGCCTGCCTGTACTGCCCCCCCCCCCCAGCAAATATTTTTCTTTTCTCCATGATTCCTATTGATTCTGACACCACAACAAGCTACCTGCACGCTGCGTACTTGTGTGCCTGAATGTGTGCCAACAGAGCCTCTCTTTAATATTAGTTCACCAACTCATTGTGCAATCGGTGGCCAGAGCCTCATCCTTACATTTTGTGTGTATAGCCCGTATGAACGACATTTAAGACATTGGTCTGTGTGAGTGTGAAAAAGGTAGAGACTCCCAGCTATTTTTAAAATGCACACATTTTTCATTCACCTAATTGTGCCGTGTGAGCATCCACATCCCGTGCACCGGCACAGGGCACTCGTACTTGCTGCAGACACCAACTGTGCTGCATTGAATGTCTTGATACATTCAGGATGTTTTCAGATGATGCAGTGAAAGCTGGAATCTGCTCACCTGTGTCTTGCTGGACGCACCTTAGTTTACATAACTCTCTTTACCTCCAGTGTGAGTGAAGAGCGGTAGATGTCCTGTATAACCAGGGACAAGTAAAGACTCACACTCTGGACTGATTCTGGAAGAATGTACACAAGCGGTTTGTATCAGTTGGCTTAAGATTGATACAATTTAGATATTTCGTGTCTATTGAAGCAGCAAATGCCTGATTTGACAAGAAAGATCAGAGCAGAGCATCCCGACTTTGGACGGACATCCACAAAAACAGTTTCAGAATGGCATCCAGTAGTACTATCACGCAAAGCGGAACAATGTTTCACCTTTTATTTAATCAAGTGCTGCATAATACACAACACATTGCTACACTGATGCACAGCTTCAACTGGGCATCCTGTATTTCTTTAGTTTCACACTAAATGTGCGCACCTGAGTAAACACCACCTGTTGTTTGTTGGTGGCTGTACCATCATATATCTGTTCTGTAGGCCTGGGAGGTGCATGAAAGTTAAATGGATTTGAGACGGCCCTGCCTCCAACCACTGTAGAGGTGTGCTTTTGACCCTGAAGGAGTCACAGGATCGTGGCAGATTACCCGATGCAGAGCACCTGGTCCTGGAGCTCCTATAGGGCATAGAAGCCCTGCTCCAGTGTTGCTCTGCCCTGGCTCTCTCTCTCCTGTGCATGTTGAGTGATCCCTGCCAGTGGCTGCCCGTTTATACTTTGGTTTTGGTCTTCCTTTGTTTCACTGGCAACACCCCACACTTCTTCACACACGCATTCACGTTTACATTGCTGATGTTACTACACAATTCACAATGGTGACTATTTCTGTTGTTAGTTATAATAAATACCTTTAATTTACCGTCATCCCTTCTGTCCTTTCCATATTTGTCATAGCCTGGGAGCCAGGTTATGACAGATTACACTGATTACATGTTATGTACGTGACGTTGACTTTTTTTTCAACATGAAAATCTGGACACTTGAAACATCAAAAGTCAAGTTGAGAAGTCAAGTTTGTTTGTCGCTCAAACTATAATGCAGATTATGGTTGGATCACTTTTCGGTACCTCATGATAAGGTTAAGGTTTGAACTATGATGCTGCAGCAGCAAATTAAACACCTGTAGGACCTGGGGTTTGTATTTATCTGTTGTGATAATGTCTTCAAATTTCTCAACTTTCATGCGTGTGTGTGCGTGTGTGTGTGTGTGCGTGTGCGTGTGCGTGCGTGTGTGCCAAATGAAGACATAACAGAACAGCCAGATTTTTAAACTTCCATATAGTGTTCAAAGACTTATGTAAGTGGGTTTGACTCGGCTCTGCCATGTGTAGGGGATGCATCGGACAATCCAAAAAGCAGTCACTCTCAGTAAAACATGTCTGATGCTGTGCTGCATGCCTTTGCCTCGTTTGTTTCACGTCCATGTCGAACACAAAGCCATAATGACGGACGGGGAGCACTGTCATTGTTGTTGCATCACGTGGGCTACGGGCCTGGGCCTGGCACACAGTAGCACGCTGTGCGGAGCACAAAAGCACTGCTCGCATGCAGGAATATGTCAGTCTTTTTCACAAAACATGTCCTTTGGATTCAGACGGAGTCACTAGGTCGGGATGAGAGTCAAGAGTTGGCATGACTCATGCAGTAGGCAGAGTCGGGGACTGCAGCTCCGCCTGGAGTGGTCTGTGTAGTAGAGTTGCCCTAAAGGTCAGCTTTTTTAGACATTTAGATCTTCTTTTGATCTCAGGTTAGGAACACAGCAGGGTGTGTGTGGTGTGTGTCAGCTTCAGGTGCTGCAAGTGAATGTATTTATTAGTGCTGGGCAACGATTATAATTTTAATCGCATGATTGTTTTGCGATTAATCGCATTGTTATGCGCAAAGTTCAATAAAGAATTCAAAAGTAGTGTATTGCGCACTTTTATTTTAAAAGTACTGCTACATGAACAAAAGTGCAATAACATTTGGTTTGCAAACACTTGAAACAAATAAGGTGCTTTTT